ACATGTTCAGCAGCATACCTGGCCTGGAGACTCATCGCCTTGCAGGAGAACTTTGGCAGTGAGAGGAGGTGGCAGCTGGGTGCTCACAATCCTAAAAGGACAAAACAAAGTCATCCATGAGCAGAGCGTTTTGGCAGTGAGAGGAGGTGGCAGCTGAGTGCTCACAATCCTAAAAGGACAAAACAAAGTCATCCGTGAGCAGGGCGTCGTGTCCTGAAGCTGAGTCGTAGACGAGGACAGGCAGAGCCAGCAGTAGTGCCACACTAGACTTGTATTTTGAGCAAAAACTGAGGGTGCTGCAGCGCCCCATTTCACAGCTGGGTGATCTCTGGGGGCGTCTCGAAGGTTCCACTGCACCCACCTCTCCCGGCCCTGCCAGAGACTGCAGGGGTTGAAGGGCCAGCCCCACACGTGGGCTGGAGCTAACACGTTGCCACACAAGAGAAACACAAGCTGAGTCACCACCAGGACTCTAGTTTTCTGGTATTTGGGTCAGTTCCACTCTAAACTCAGGAAAACCACCTGCTGGCATTTAATTAAACAAATCTGGTTTTGCTGAGTCAAGATCTAAGACAGACCAGTCCATACAGGCTTCCTGCCACCCCGGGAAGAGCTGCAGGCAGCGGAGAAGATTCGGAAAGACTAGTGCTCAAAGTGCTGCAAGGACAGGCCCCTCGGACAGGGCTTCCAAAGGTATTCTTGGGTCTTCTGTCCGTGTCTTGTTGAGATATGCATTGTGGAGATTCTCCAAAAGACTCTAAAGAAGGAGAAGCTTATCTCAAACACAAAGCCCTTCGCAGTGTTGTAGTAAGATTCAACGTTTAGAAAACTCTAATGACATTTGGTGAAAAAAAATCTCTACCAGACAGACCAGCGATACAACGAGACACACGCAGTGGCCACGGGCAGGCGCAGGACAAGACTCCATTCTCAAGTCAGACATCCACTTCCACTGCAACATGCTGCCAGCTTTAAGGTGCTGCAGTGACTCATGCTCCGTGTCCTGCTTGCAAGTATGAGATCACTCCCTTAAAAATGCCTGGTCTGCCTCTGTCAGACCTGGAAAGATGCACACATTGTGGCATATTTCCAGTGCTCGTAAAAGGTGTTACAGGAACAGCTTATGCCAAAGAAAAATGGTGTTTAAATGCTATTGCCAAGAAATTCTCAGAATCCCCCACCTCCTGTCTTTCAAGGACACCTTTGAGGCTTTCCTTGATGTCATTCAGTACCACATCTGCCGCATCTTCCGCTATGATCGGTTGGAAGAAGCAGGCATTTCTTGGGGGAAACTCTGGCTTATTCTTCTGTGCACTTTCTACCAGTATAGACAGTGGTCCTGGCCAATAAGTCAGTCAAAAATACGTATATATACACACACACACGTGCACTGAATTTGCAAGACTGCAAAGAGAACACAAAGGGGAAAGAATAATATTCACACACCTTTCTTTTTCTTGGTGACTTCCACCTAAAAAGCCTAAAAAGTTCAGTCTTCACATCCTGCTGAGTATCCAAGACAGCAGGTTACGCTCAAACCCAAACCTTTAATTTCTTCGTGCTTCCATTTCTCCCACTGATAAACGCAAATAACCATTTATCCTCTTTGAAATACACCAGCAGACAGGGATCACCTTGCCTGAAGCATTCATGCTCCCGCCAGTAACAACCAGCAGCCCTGTGTGCACAGCCAGCGAGTGCCCTTGCTCCGCTCCCCGGATGCACTCCGGGATCCCAGCCCTGGGAAGGGGCCCATTTAACGTGCAGTTAAATCCTTCGGTTACTTACAAGCCCCTGTAGAGAACGCAGCCTGCCAAGACATGGGGAGACCGCTGGCAAGTTTGCAAGATGAGAGCTGCTTTCAGTAAAAGCAGGGGGTCCACCTAGACAGGGAGAACCACAAGGAGTTAGGCCAGAGAATCCCGGGAAATGCTCAAAACAGCAAATAAACACAAACCCATTGGCACGAGGGCAGCTCTAGAGGCAGACACTGCAGAGGACAGCCTCTTACCTTGGTTTTGTCCAGATTCCAGAGAGAATTGAAAATCTTGTGGAGGTCACTGGTGTTTTTTTGGGTATGTTTAACGTATCTGTCCCACTGCCTGCTCAGTTCCTCCTGAGAAAATGCCTGCGGACAACAAAAATCCACACGGCTGTCACCGCGCAGCCTTAATGCGTCCAGGATGGTTAGATGCAATCAATCTGGGACAGTACCTGTAAGTGACTGGGGGAAAACAACAGAAGATTGGCAAGGAGGACTGTAAACACACTCAAGTGACCTGCAGCCGAGGCTTCAAAAACCACATATATATACTAATGGTTGTTTAGTCTTGTGTGCTCCACAAGTAGAACATCTGTGTTTAGAAAACGCAGGCCTGTGACAGACTCAGAGGCACCCTGTCGAACATGCTTGAGATTCCTGCCCCGCTGCGGGAAAGATCAAAGCACAGCGGTGAACTACACCCGCCCGAATCCCTGATACACAGGCGAGAACAGCAGGTTCGGTAACTCCCTCCAGCACGGACCGGGCTCCACGGTGCCTGTCTGCCTCTGCCCAGGCGCTGCTTCGGAGACCCCCCGGCTGTTGAGGCAGCGAGATTAAAGTGACTCTTTGCATTTCATCCGTGGTTTTGTGGGTGTTTCTGCGTCCCGCCTGTGTCAGCTCACACAGCGATAAATCTTGTGAGGAAAAGGAGGAAGATGGTATCGAGAGGAAACGCTTTAGACTGAACATCTCGGAAACTTTTAGCAGACACTCACACTACCTCGGTGCAGCAGCAGGATGGGCCTGTACACTTTTCCAGGTCCCGACTGTTTGATACGTGAGCTTGCTCTGACCCTTGATGGCAGGAAGACAACATAAGGGAACATGCCAGCACAGATGTGCCTGGGGACAGCTCGGCCGATATGGAAAGTTTTTAAGATCTCTTCCTATGCTGCTGATCTTTAATTACCATGTAGGCACGGTGCACGGGTCCATTGTAGAAGGTGAAGAGGCTGATCAGCTGCTCCAGAAACCGTCGACAGCTGACATCGGGGAGCTCAACAGCACAGCCCAGAACCTTTAACAGAGAAAGCCATGAATGAAGAATGTTTACTGACAAAACCCAGGCACAGCAGGTGAGAACAACTCTTATCACTTTCAAATGAGTATCAAAGGCGTACAAGCGGTTCTGTGGCAGGCAACCAGCCCCCGGATTCACAAGTCAGATGAAAAGGAGATTCAAAAATACCCACAGAAGAGCCCTGGCACAGACAGGATAAATAAAACAGAATTCCAGTGTTTTAGACACACTCCCCTCCCACGTTAGATGACCTAGCTCAGTGCTCTAATAGCTAAGAACATTTTCCTGAAACTAAGTATGTGAAAATATTCAAATTAACTCGTTATTTACAGCGATGAAGATGCTTCATTTAGGTTTTCAGTTGCCGAGAGACACAGAAGCACCAGGCCGCCTGCCTCAGAGAGCGCCCAGTGAGCCTGAATGGCACTGCCAATTAAATAGGTCTGACTGGTCTCAGCCCAGTTTCCAGGGGATGGTTTGAGGCATTTTTGTCATGACTCTGCCGCACGCTGCTCTTATATGCTAAATGTCTGTTGACACTGACAAAGCCCTGCAGCGGGGAATACTGAGGGTTAGAAGGAAAGAACAATCAGACTATCAAATAGGGAGGCTGAGTCCTTATTATGAATCGCAGCACATGGAACCCTGTTTCCAGTCACTGCCAGTGACCCACGGATGCACACAATGATGCAGAGCTCAACTTTTTACAGCCATTGCTGAGCACATCTTAAGAAAACACGTTGCGTGTGGACACACAAATGAGGTACGTGAAGCTTTTCACAAAACAGCTGAAGTGACTGCCACAACACACAGCTGTAGCCTGAGGCAAACCAAATTTAAGTTCCCTTGCAATGAAAAATTGTGCATTGCAAGTTCCCACCCTCTCTCTCCCTGGGTCTACCTGTGTGCAGCCCCTCCCTGAAGAAAAAAAAAGTCCTCTTTGACACAGTAGTTCAGACTCTCGCTGTTTTCACACTGCGACTGCCTCCAGATCTTTTGAACTCACCCACAGATACTCTCCATCCACTACAACTGCAAACTTGAGCTTCCTCAGGCGAATGAGACTTGGAGGAACTCCAGAAATCTCAGTCATGCAGTGCACCACTCCGGCAATCTGTCCGCACAGCAGTTCCTGCTGGTCGGGGAGAGTCTGTCGAGGAAGGCAGAGAAGAAAGACTTTTATTTTTTTCTTTCCTTTTAAAAAGACTTAGGGAAAAAAAACCCACACTACTCTATTCAGTTATAAATAAAAACTTATTATAAGTTCAATTGAATTATAAAATAAATGCAGTAGCACAGGCAGACTTCTGGGGAAAAAATAATTGGACAGCTTTTTTTTTTTTCAGGCCGCACAAGGGCATAGAGCTTATTTAGGGGCACTTTCACTCTGTGTATTTATTCACGTCACCAGAACAGACCTGGCCCCTGCTGGACAACGCCACTGACCAGAACCCACAGCGAGGGAGCAGAGAGCACCACCGCCGTGCCCAGCCTCAGAAGCCCGAGGACGCCTGTGCAGCAAGCCCGGAGGAGCACCACCCCGCTCCGCCTGGCTCTCCTTGCGCGAGTTTCCTTAAAACTTTTGTGAACACTAGATAAGAACGAACCCAAAGCTCCACCTGGAAGCCCGGCCAGTCCTGAACCAGAATTATCAGCACTGACCCACAACACAGACACCGAAATAAAAGCAGACATTACCTGAGATGGATAGAAATAACAAATCCCGGCACTTGTAGGATCCCCTTCTTCCTTAACTTTTGAACCATCATAAAGGAAAAAGTAATTCCACCTAAAAAAGCAAAGCATTGACAAAAACGATTGTATATTTGAAAATTGCTACGCTTCTCCCTGTCCCATTATTTCAGGTAGAGCAACAAAAAGTTTATTACTGATGAAGAGAGACACGATTCTTGCGTCATCACACCGAGCTTAGACATGAAAGCCACACTAAAAGGGCCCCGTGTTATTAAAGCCGACCACTTTTCTGGATTTAAGATAGATTCTCCAACTCTGCAGCTAAGGCACGAGGAAGAGGATACGGACTTGTGAGATCTTCTCCTATCCACATATAACCGCGTACATTCTATTTGTGGGGTACAATTACCACTGAGCGTTAACCATGTGCAGTCCGAAGGGTTCCCATGACCGGCTGCTCTTCCTTCAGCCGCTGACTGCGCACGACGGACCTCAGGGAGCGCGAGAGGGACATCTCCTCCCGAAGATGGTCTACACTGCCATATGATTCACCTCGCGGTTTCGAGGATGTACCTATTTAATAACGCTTTTTCCCACTCCTATCAGCAAGCAGCTCCTTACGAGCTTTGCCCACGCCACGCGTGACCCCCCGCACGCCCAGCCCACGCCCGCGGGCCCGGCCGAGGAGGAGCAGCCCCGGCGGCGGGACCACGGACCGGGAGAGCACCACACCGGGAGAGCCCCGTGGGGAGGCCCGGGGGAAGGGGCTCACCATG